CCCCCCCCCCCCCCCCTGCGTGCGCCCATGCCTTGACGCAAAAGTTTTGAAATTAGGAAAATCTTCCTTGAGCGAAAACTGGTAAAAACCCACCGGTCCTTCCTTTAACTTGTCCCTAAGGAGGTCATTTCCTTGCAACTCAATGACCTCCAGCTGCAGTTCATCTGGGCAACTGGCCACAACTGAGGTTAGTCCAGTCCAAGTTATAATCAGAAAATATTTTTTTTCAACTCACCGGTAACAGTTACGTACATGCTATTTGGGGAAGCCAGCTCTAATGTTAAGTTCATGTCTTCATCAGTGATTAGTTGAGAAATTTTCGCCGGGGGGGGGGACACTTCAGATTTTTCGGGGGGGGGGGGGGGGCTGTGCAAGCAGTGCCAGTTGATTTATTGTTGGACATATTTTTGCTCCCGGGGAGGAGGGGGGCCGGAGATCTAGCTGAAAGAAACCCTGTTCTTCATCCACACCTCTAACGAACACAAGCAGTTGAGAGGTGGAACAGCTGTCCAGTGATTCATCCATTGCTATTAAAAATTGGCGAAACATGCTTGCATTTTTCACCATTTGAGTCACAGTGTTTTCAGCCATGTCTGCAACACGGCGGGCAAAGCTCCGCCACTAGATGGCGTTATATATTCTCATTTCATTGACTGTAAACGGAAGTAGAAAAAGTAAACAGCGAATAATTTTTTGCAAAGTAATGATCGGTTAGAAAACATAACGCACTACTGCGCGCCTCTATTTTAATTCGGTAATATCATAACGCGTAGTTTGATCTTGGCAGGATACACGTACATTTCCGTAATTTTTTTCTGTAGACAAAAAGGTATCTGCGGGCCGCATGAGAGAGCCTCATGCGACCCGCGGGCCGTAGTTTGGAGACCTCTGATCTATAACGATAGGAATAAAGACAGTCCCACACCCTATCTGCCGATCTTTTAACAACAGCCCCACAGACAGTCCTACACCCTACCTGCCGACCTTTTAGCAACAGTCCTACAGACAGTCCTACACCACACCCGCGGCCATTTATATATTAATAGAATAGTCACCTCCGAAAAAATTCAACCTTCTTACCTGGGTTCAACCGCCACGCATGACGCTCACTGCTCTACAGACCCCCCCCCCCTTTTTTTTTTCTTATCAGTACTATTAATGTAAAACTTGTTGAGTAAGGGGAAGGCCGTTTGGGTGTAGGAAGTAGCCACACCATTATGAGTTGGGGGAAGTCAAGTTGGGAATAGGAAGGAGCCACACTGCCANTGTCTTGCAAAAAAAAAAAAAAAAAAAGCCAAGAAAAAAAACCAACAAAAAAAAGTGACGTAATGGGTGTTCACTCACTTCAAGAAATACAGACACACAATTTTTTTAGTTGTCAGTTTTATTCTTATGGATAAATCCCCTTTTCAAAAGTCTTTGGCCGAGCTGAGGTGTCATTGCAGAGACGCGGTCAGGTGACACACACGCAGAATGTATTCTGGAAGTAACGAAACTTTCTAAATGTTCAGTCGTGTGGTTTTTATTCTACACCTCTATTTTGCCAATGTTTGGACACAGGATATAATAGACTGAACATGATTTTATTTTGCAAGACGCACGCGACATCAAGAGACCCAAGATAAACTGGCAGACCATGATAAAGAACTACAAGAAAAATTGGTAGACCATGATAAATTGGTAGACCATGATAAATTGGTAGAACATGATAAATTGGTAGACCACGATAAATTGGTAGACCATGATAAATCGGTAGATCATGATAAATTGGTAGACCATGATAAATTGGTAGACCACGATAAATTGGTAACCCTGATAAATTGGTAGACCCTGATAAATTGGTAGACAATGATAAAGAGTAACAAGAAAAATTGGTAGACCATGTTAAATATGTAAACAATGATAAATTGTTAGACCATGATAAATTGGTAGACCATGATAAATTGGCCATTTGCAAATTCATCTTTAAAAAGTAAGCAATGCCTAAAGTAGATCAATGGCGTGCTAATAGAACAACGTTTCTATTCTAAAATATGTCCCCCTGAAAAGAGATTGTGTGTAGGAGGCTTGGCTTATATTAATACACCGGTATGTACCTAAGACCAAAGATGGTTAAATAGGAGAACTCCAGTGGGCTAATTCGAGTACGACCGGATCTTTCTCTCGAATTAATTCTGCATGCACTCACTGTATAAAAATAGCATATATACAAAGATTAAACAAGTTTAAATGTGTCTTTAGTCAAGTGGACATTGTTTCAATAAAAAACAACAACAACAACACCCCTTCGAAATGAGTTTATAAGGTGATAATCCGATGGTCCGTTAACCCAGAACAAATTTTGTTCTAGGAGAAGACCAACTGTATAAAGATTTGAAAGATAAAGGTACCGAAGACGACGAAATACTGAATGCTGCCCAGGTAACTGCTGAGAAATCGCCCCCTCTTTTTGGAAACAGGAAATACGTTACGAAATCCTACGTCCCCGAAGCGCGCGACGTGTGTGTGCATCCCTGGCTCACTCCCGTGGTACCCATTCAAGAGTTGGACGTCACGCGGGTGCACGTTCCCTTTTGCACCATGGATGGACGGAATCTGATCCCAACCCCTCCTTCCGTTCACTTCCTCAAAGTTACTCGAATGTGTGCTATTCTGAAAAAACTCAACGCTCGGTGAGCACTTGCCCGGTTGATAGTGCTGCAGACCGCCGTCGCCAGACAATGACTGATGGTTCCATTTCTGATCCTGCGCCGCTCTGTCGAGCCCCGCAGCATCGAAGGAATAGCCCGCCTCGTAATCGAAGTCATAACCACTGTTTAAGACAGTCTCCTTCATCATGGACTTCTTTTCCAGGAAGTTCGTGAACTTATTGTACAACCTTGACATCTCACAGGAGACCTCCAGTTGAAAATCCACCAGCAAGTCGAGTTGCCGTTTGAAGAGCTGGCGATTCTCGTCCGTTTTATGTTTCCTCGATCCAACCGCTTTTGCGGGAGTCTTGAGTGTTTTGCTTACCGCCGTCGGATGGTTGGGAGCCGTATCTGTCTTTTTCTGCCGTGCGACGCCGTGGGGCTTCTGCCTTGGGGTGCCGTCCCGTTGGACGAGAACCGGTAATTTTGTGTCAAAGAGTGGCTCTACCTCGCTCGGAGACTTTTCACGTTCAGACTTGGCAGTGGGCCTCACGTGAGAGGTGTTGGGGGACTGGTTAGGTGAATGGTTCGGAGATCGGTTAAGAAAACGGTTAGGCGATCTGCATGGATCTGCATGCGGTGAACGGATAGGCGACCGGCTTAGGGAGCGGTTTGAAGAATGGTAAGGGGATCGATTGGGAGATCGGTTGGGCGACCGGTTGGGGGACCGGTTGAGAGGCTGGCTAGACTTTGAGGTCCGTTGTAACTTTCCCTTTATAGAACCATCTGACTTTCTCGACAATGACGTTTTGGCGTCCGCCTCCTCATGGAAACATTTCTCAGCGAGGTCCATCTCCTGCTTGGCCGTGGCTAGGTTCTGCCTGTTCGGGATGTGCCGGCCGGCGGTCGCCGTGGAGTGATCCAATTTATGTACCATTGGTCTGCTTCTGTTTGGGTCATCCCCGTTCGTGGTAAAACATCTCTGAGCTTTACTTATGCTGTGACTTTTGCTTCCAGAGGGAGGCGTGGTACCTGAAGTGTTAAAAAGAGAGCATGTTAATTATTTTACTCTAAGCAAGGGTTCTAAAGTTAAACTTTTTTTGTTCAATAGAACCCGTTGGCTGTCATATTATGTACACGGACACCCTCTTAAAATATTTTTTTTTAAATTGTAAATTTCAAAATTGCAAACTAAATGCAGATCACACTCCCATCCCCAGGAACCTTTTCTCAGACCCCTTGTTAAAAACATGTACTAAATAATCCACAAGCTTATGACCAGGCGATTTGGCTCTTTAAACTTTAAATATATTTTTTCCGCATGCATAACAAATAAAAAATCTCAAACTAAGAATGGAGATGGCAATGAACAGTGAATGAACCGTGGGTTTGGAGATGATACAAGATAAGTCATTTCAATTTATCATAAACATCCCTATTTAAATTAGAAGGAGGAAAACAATGACAGCAAAATGCAACTTAACAACAACTAAAAAAAAACACAAAAAAAACGACAACAATAACAATCAGACTAACGTGTGCCTTAAACCGTTATCAGCAAAAAAACACAGATACCAAAGAGAATGCGAACACTGGAGAAACGTTAATCAGTAGCGAGAATAATATACTAATAGTGACAGGGGTTGTCTACAAACTAAAATATACGTGTTAACAAGGAGGCTACAGGAAGTAAAAGTATAACAAGGTGAAATTAAAAGAAAATGCTACACATTCCTAATAATTCAAGTAGGAAAATAAAAATATAAATAGAAATGGCGGGAAAGCGATGAGTACCGTACTTGTAAGAGAGGATTTGATGGATCAGTTGTGGCAATGCGGTATTTTGTTAAGATTATCTTTCGCTGATGTATTGGTGTAAGAAATAAGTTTCGTGATGGATACATCTGATGTGCCTTTGTGTTCATCTCTTTTAAAATTGGGACATAAAACAGGGGATGTAGTTTTGGCAATCACATAGATGGCCTAATGAATCCCTACTTGATGGTTAGAGTCCCTCCCATTGGAATGTCCCCTACATGGCAGTTCCTAGACCCAACCACAACCAATGATCTACATTTTTAAATAGAGTGTTGGAGGAGAAATCTTGACGTACAGAGTGATGATATCTTTCAACACACCTTCTGGTTTGACAGTGTGCGCTGGGCTGTTATCGCTTCCATTAAACAACCCAGGTGTGTCTTGGTGTCGGGACATCTGGGACAACCCAGGGCTGTCGTTTCGCCGAGACATCTCGTAGACTTCTTTGGTATTCAAATCGCTTTTATAAACATCAGTGGTTTTCTTGTTGCCTGGGAAAATATTAAATTTTTAATTAGTTTTCTTGTTTTGTTTTAGTGTTTCAAAAATTAATGCGCACATCACAAGATCATTGATGGCAAATTCACTAAAACATAAGATGATAAGAAAACTAAAAACTATTATAAATTTACTTGCTTGAAAAGCAGGCGTTCTGCCGACATGATCATTGATTTCTTCCATCTTTTTTTTCCCTTCCATGTTTTTTTCTTCAATTGTGTTTCTCATTTCCAACACAAAGTGTCACATCAATGTCTTCGCTTTGCTTCCTCCTGGAAAACAGTTCTTGTAATTCGTGGGTCCGTTGTCCAGTTCAATATAACTCAAATTCAACGAGGACCCCCCCCCCCCCAACCAAAAAAAAAAAGAAAAAAAAGTCATGTCCCACGTGCGGGAAAGATTTCCAGACACAAATAGGACTGCTCGTACTCACCACGGAATATGGCATTGGTCATTTTCACGTGACAAAGATGAACAGCATCATCTAACCATAGCAAGGAGCGACTCGAGCTTGACTTCATCGATTGGAGTGACTGAGACACACGGTTTATAGAATTACCCAGACATGGCCAAAATCGATCCATTTACCTTCCCACAATTCATTTGCCGCCCTCTTGGATACAACTTCTCAGCTAAGGGCTATTTTTTTATCTTTTGGTTTTATTCTGTTTTTTTTCCTATCTTTGTTCACTGACGAAGGCTTCCTGCCGACATGTTTGTTGTGTTATTGCGTTCCTTTTTTTTAGGTTTAACCTGACTTTGTTTGACCAGTTTCCTACCTTCTTGTCTATGGCCACCTCTTGCACCCGGTCCAGTCCTGGCTGTCGTTGTTGTGGTGAAGCTGCTGCGTTTCTCCGTCTTGTTTTCTTTCCGCTGCAGTCGGCTCTGGGCGCTGTTCAGGTGCTGCCTGACCTTGATCTTTGCTTTCTTCTCCAGCAACGGCCACTTGCATTTCTTGGTCACAAGCAGCTCGTTACCTGATTTAAGGTTGTGGTATTTTTAAGAATGTGCAGCGCATTAATACATAATAATGTGTCCTTATGGTCCTACCGCATTGCTTGTCACAACCATTCTTTAAGAACGACAGATTTCATAAAAATTGGGTTAAATATTTTCTTTTTCGTATTATGCTAAGTTCACACGATCACATTTTCGTCCAATAGTTTTTGAACGCACTATTTCGTTTCCCCAAATTTGACGAAATATTTGAAGCCAATTTACCAAATTTGACGAAAATTTGACCGTGTGAACCTAGCATAAGATAAATTATCATTCATCTAGAGAAATCTTTATCGAAATATGTCTACTTATCCCTATAGTTTTCATATGGAATGCGATAATGGTAAGACGACGTCTACAAACCGCCAAACAAAAAAAAAAAAAATTGCACTAGACAACTTGCTGACTACACGAACAACATAATCGCTGATATTCATGTCATGAATTTGTAGGACAATAAAATACCATAGAATTGAGAGGCTTGTTACTTCACAGTCCCACTAATGAGCAACTTATTAATTTGGACTATTTTTTTTTTCAGAATGCGAGAAATAATAAATGAAAGAGTTATCTCTACCCAAGTTTGGCTCTGGAGAGTTGTCTGAAGAATTGCCCTTGTCGGCTGTTTCCGTCACATTCCGGCATTTATTTCTGAATGACACGGTTGATCTGAGGTACACTGGACCATCAAAATATACGTTAGTGTGACAGGTGTCAGCTACACTGCGTCATCAAAATATACGTTAGTGTGACATAATTGTTGTGACAAGAGAAAAACTTTTAGTGTTAGAAGGTGTCTTTATTAAAAAAAAATATTTTACACCAGATTAGGCGTCATCTCTAAAAAAAAAACATCAGATCGTAAATACGCCAGCAAACAAACAACTAAACATAAGGTCAAAGTTCATGCGGGGCATTATCCCAGAATAGGATGAAACATTGCAGTATCTTACTACAGAGAATACACCTTTTGGGATTAAACCGTTGGGCCTGCTGAAGGAAAAGACAGCATTGGTTATGTTCCTTTTACAATAGTGTTTACTTCCGTTGCCACAATTGCAACAAGATTGAGTTCCGGTGTTGCAATGGCAATTGTATTAACTTCCGGTGTTACAATTGCAACAGGATTGAGTTCCGGTGTTGCAATGGCAATTGTATTAACTTCCGGTGCCACAATTGCAACAGGATTGAATTCCGGTGTTGCAATGGCAATTGTATTAACTTCCGGTGTTACAATTGCAACAGGATTGAGTTCCGGTGTTGCAATGGCAATTGTATTAACTTCCGGTGTTACAATTGCAACAGGATTGAGTTCCGGTGTTGCAATGGCAATTGTATTAACTTCCGGTGTTACAATTGCAACAGGATTGAGTTCCGGTGTTGCAATGGCAATTGTATTAACTTCCGGTGTTACAATTGCAACAGGATTGAGTTCCGGTGTTGCAATGGCAATTGTATTAACTTCCGGTGTTACAATTGCAACAGGATTGAGTTCCGGTGTTGCAATGGCAATTGTATTAACTTCCGGTGTTACAATTGCAACAGGATTGAGTTCCGGTGTTGCAATAGCAATTGTATTAACTTCCGGTGTTACAATTGCAACAGGATTGAGTTCCGGTGTTGCAATAGCAATTGTATTAACTTCCGGTGCCACAATTGCAATGGTACATCTTATTGTGCTGTCATGTGTTTTACAAGTATTCTAAAGGAGCTTCATGATAGTATCCACTAACATACGCCGACTGGCCGAGGCAGTAGGCTAATACTGTTATTGTAAAATGTTAAAGACACATGGGCCATATTTGAAACATATGGACCCTACGTGAGACACATGGGCCATATTTGAAACATATGGACCATACTTGAGACAAATGGGCCATATTTGAAACATATGGACCCTACGTGAGACACATGGGCCATATTTGAAACATATGGACCATACTTGAGACAAATGGGCCATATTTGAGACAATATTGAATACAGGTTTTACAGTCTTTACAATTATACCATTTTAAAATAAACAGTCCAGATTTGTCTGAATTTGTGTATAGCCGAAAAGTCTGTCCTTGAACACACACACCACAATTTTTGGGCAGTGTCGGGCAAGTCTCTAACTCCTGTTTGATGTTCCTAAACTAGATTCAATTAGGTTGAGTAGGGATTAGGGACCTTGTTCCGTTCACTTTACCTTATATTCATCCAGTCCATAGCCTAACCCAAACCACAGCAGTAGCCAATGACAGGAAAGTGGAGCAACGTCGTTTGCGCCCCCCTCCCTTTTTTCCCAACCATCCCACTCCTTCCACTCCCCCGAAATTTTTTCTTTTCGTTCCTTTCCCATAAGCCTTAAATACCTGGATCGTATTGATACGCTCCTGTTGAAACTGATTTGTTGGAGATGGTTGGTGCGTCCGTCTTGTTCTTGGCTAAGTCGATCTTGTTTGCTGGGTTTCCCTTACGTTCCATGTTTGAGGGGTCACGGTTCTCGTACTAGTTGCAACGCTTGGACAGGAGAAAACAATATAGAGCTACCTAAACATGTCTGAACTAGGGTGGTGACGAACAGTAATAGGGCTACATAAACATGCCTGACCTGGGGTGGTAACGAACAGTAATAGGGCTACCTAAATATACCTGAACTGGGAGAGTGACGAAAATCATTACGGCTACCTAAATATGTCTGAGCTGGGATGGTGACTAAAAGTATATAGTAGGGCTACCTACCTGGGATAAAGTCGGCACGTTTAAGTTTACAGCCAGGTATCTTACTTTGTTGCCAATTAACGTCTCGTAAGATAGGCGACTGAGAAATTGGATGAGGTTAAAGTTGTTGAGATCAGAGAGAGAGAGAGAGAGAGAGAGAGAGAGCGAGAGAGATAGAGAGAGAGCGTGAAAAGGAGAAAGAGAGGTGGAGAGGGAGATAGAGACCGACAGACTCGTCAACGCACAAATAAATAGTTTTTCATTGTTTTGCCAAACATCTTCCACAGGGGTTAGCGGATATAAAAATTAATGTGAATGTGGTTTCTAAATGAGCATAATGTAAAATACTATACCAACTACCTTAAAATATCTGGCATGGTATTCTATCGCTTCTCCTTCAAATCAAACTCAAAAACTGTCAGTAATAGATGGCGCTCTTTTCCGGTTTAAAAACAAAATGGAATAAAACGGAAGTTGGATCGAGAAATTGTTTGCGAATAGGTCAGGCGATAGTATGGTTTTCATTACACTTTTGATTCCACTTTAGAAACTATATTTTAATTTTATTTAATATTTTGATTGTTAATTAATTTAATTTGAAACCTTTCTACTACATATTGAGCTCGTATTTTAAAATGTACTTTCATCGCTTTTCTACACAGGGTTCGCCATTTCTAAGACCGGAAAACGTCACATTTCATTTAGTAATGGTACTATATTTAGACATTGTTTTCATAAAACAAAGCTGCCGACAATGTATTACCGCATATGTATTGCAGCAAAAATCTGTTACTTACTTGTGTCGAACCTGGGCTCTGAAATAAAGTGTGGATATTAAACCATTTCAGTAGGCCGAGCCCAACACAATGATTTCACAATCATTGATCAGAGTGGCTCCAGGGAAACTTGGGGTTGAAATAACCTTTTCTCCAAGTACTGCAATGGGGATACAGAGAGAGAGAGAGAGAGAGAGAGAGAGAGAGAGAGAGAGAGAGAGAGACAAAACAGTCTAGCTGTCAAATGCAGTCAGCTGTCAAATGCAGTCAGCCTTCAAGTGCAGTCAGCTGTCAAATGCAGTCAGCTATCTAATGCAGTCAGCTACCAAATTTTAATGTAGTCAGATACCAAATGTAGTCAGCTACCAAATGCATTCAGTTTTCGAATACATTTAGCTATTAATTTCAAGATTTTTAAGGCAAGCAGCTGGTAAAAGAAAATTAAAAAAAACAACAACTTTTGGAACCATTAAAATAAAAATAAATATTTGCTAGCACCCCGATCAGCCAGCATATTGCCAAACAACAAATCAATCGGATTGTCCAACCGGGTAGGAGTGCGAACTAACCATGCATTACAACAGTTATAGATACAATCAGTTGAAAATTATTTTAACATTTGTAGATTAATCTAATAAACATTATTTTAACATTTATGGATAAAAGCAAATGAACATTAATTTAACATTTTGAGATTACCGTTTCAAGTCCACTCTGATAGGACAGTCCATTCGGCTGAGGAAGCAGAGGTTTTTGCCCTGTTAATTTTCTTTGTTAAGAAGACAGAGACAATAACTTGACTAGTACATAATTACGTCACCATAGAAGCGGTCAGCGTTTTTAGTTTGTTAACAGCAAGTTGGCCATACGATTAAACACTTAATGTTGAAACTTAACAAAACAAGCTGTTGTGACAAAATTTATCACGGTAACAGATAGTGTCCAGCTGAGATTAAAGACGTTTCATTAAAGAGTTCCCATTAAAATAATAATAATCTCAATATTTACCGTGGCTGATATATTTGTACATTAAGATACTTCATTTTTAAACTGAAAAAAGCTCAAACAAATATTTCCACAGTAAAAGATGGTGTCAGAATGTTGACTGTTGACGGGGCCCCCTATCTGTTCCCAAACTCACTGTTGATGGCGGGCCCAATCTGTTCTCACACTCACTGTTGACGCGGGCCCCCATCTGTTTTAACTCCCACTCGAGTGTGCAGCCACTGTGATCGCTTTTGTGGATCACGTGATGAAGTATTGTCGCCTGTACTTCACGTACGGGTATGTGTTGATCATCAAAGATAGGATAAAATGCAATAACACGTCCACTTAAATGTGTGTCACTCAAGTGTTCTCACGTCTGCTGAAATGAGTGTCACTCAAGTGTTTTCACGTCTGCTGAAATGTGTCACTCAAGTGTTCTCACGTCTGCTGAAATGTGTGTCACTCAAGTGTTCTCACGTCTGCTGAAATGTGTGTCACTCAAGTGCTCTCGCGTCTGCTGAAATGTGTGTCACTCAAGTGTTCTCATGACTGCTGAAATGTGTGTCACTCAAGTGTTCTCATGTCTGCTGAAATGTGTGTCACTCAAGTGTTCTCATGACTGCTGAAATGTGTGTCACTCAAGTGTTCTCACGTCTGCTGAAATGTGTCACTCAAGTGTTCTCACGTCTGCTGAAATGTGTCACTCAAGTGTTCTCATGCCTGCTGAAATGAGTGTCACTCAAGTGTTCTCAAGTCTGCTGAAATGAGTGTCACTCAAGTGTTCTCATGACTGCTGAAATGTGTGTCACTCAAGTGTTCTCCCGTCTGCTGAAATGAGTGTCACTCAAGTGTTCTCACGTCTGCTGAAATGAGGGTCACTCAAGTGTTCTCACGTCTGCTGAAATGAGGGTCACTCAAGTGTTCTCACGTCTGCTGAAATGAGGGTCACTCAAGTGTTCTCCCGTCTGCTGAAATGTGTGTCACTCAAGTGTTCTCACGTCTGCTGAAATGAGTGTCACTCAAGTGTTCTCCCGTCTGCTGAAATGAGTGTCACTCAAGTGTTCTCATGACTGCTGAAATGTGTGTCACTCAAGTGTTCTCCCGTCTGCTGAAATGTGTGTCACTCAAGTGTTCTCACATCTGCTGAAATGAGGGTCACTCAAGTGTTCTCACGTCTGCTGAAATGAGGGTCACTCAAGTGTTCTCCCGTCTGCTGAAATGTGTGTCACTCAAGTGTTCTCACGTCTGCTGAAATGAGGGTCACTCAAGTGTTCTCACGTCTGCTGAAATGAGGGTCACTCAAGTGTTCTCGATAGAGGCCAAAAGCGTCGTCTATAATAAGAAGTGCACGTTTGATAGAAGGGACTTAAATATAAGTATACATGCTTTGGATATTTAAAAAAAATCTAGGTCTATTGAAAAAAAAAAATAATTTTTGAACTATTTAAAAGTATTTTTTAAAAATGAAAGAAATTAACTTTCACTTCCTACTTAATTTTTTTTTTATACTCATCCCCTATCTCTAATCCTTAAAAAAAAAGAAAAACAAATTATATAAATTTAAAAAAAAAGATATTGACTAAAAGTATTCAAATAAATGTTGTAACATTCATATGACTAAAAATAAGTGTGGGGAGCCCATGAAATGTAATGGTACCGTGTGGTGTTTTGTTAAGCTGCTCTGTCGTTTGTTAGTTCGTGTGTGGTCGAATCTTGCATCTCAGTGTTGATCCACTTCCTCATCTCCTCACATATACATACAATGCACACATTACGTCAATTTAATTAATATAATTTTTGTTTTATAATTAAGAACATATTTGCCAAAATGTTTGAATATTATATATGTGTCTGCACATAATTGGAGCTTGACAGTTATTGTTTTATTTACGCAATTTGTTTTTGTCTCAGTGATCTAAACACATACATCTGGCCAAGGTACACATTTACATCTGGCAAGGTACACATTTACATCTTGTCAAGGTACACATTTACATCTGGTCAAGGTACACATTTACATCTGGTCAAGGTACACATTTACATCTGTTCAAGGTACACATTTACATCTGGTCAAGGTACACATTTACATCTGGTCAAGGTACACATTTACATCTGGTCAAGGTACACACTTACATCTGTTCAAGGTACACATTTACATCTGGTCAAGGTACACATTTACATCTGGTCAAGGTACACATTTACATCTGGTCAAAGTACACATTTACATCTGGCCAAGGTACACATTTACATCTGGTCAAGGTACACACTTACATCTGGCCAAGGTACACATTTACATCTGGCCAAGGTACACACTTACATCTGGCCAAGGTACACATTTACATCTGGTCAAGGTACACATTTACATCTGGTCAAGGTACACACTTACATCTGTTCAAGGTACACATTTACATCTGGTCAAAGTAGAACTGAACATCTTTCCCCTTCTCTCTCGCACTCCTTCTCTCTCGCACTCCTTCTCTCTTGCCCACTCTCTTGCTTCCTATTTTCTTAACGATGAATAATCACTTTAATAACAAAACTCATTGTCTATTCATCTGAGCACAGAGTGACTTCAGAGTTTACAGTTAGCATTGAGAGGAAAACGGGAATTTGAAGAAAACATATGTTCTTTGTGTCAACGCACTTCATAGACAAGTAAAAGTATGTTCTGTGTGTCAACGTACTTCATAGACTAGTAAAACTATGTTCTGTGTGTCAACATACTTCATAAACAAGCAAGAATATGTTCTGTGTTCCAATATACTGTATAGAGTAGTAAACTATGTTCTGCGTTAACATACTTCATAGACTAGTACAAATGTGTTCTGTGTGTCAACGTACTTCATAGACCAGTACAAATATGTTCTGTGAGTCAACATACTTCATAGACCAGTACAAATGTGTTCTGTGTGTCAACGTACTTCATAGACCAGTACAAATATGTTCTGTGAGTTAACATACTTCATAGACCAGTACAAATATGTTCTGGGTATCAACGTACTTCATAGACCAGTACAAATATGGTCTGTCTGTCATCATAATTCATAGACCAGTACAAATATGTTTAGTGTGTCAACATAATTCATAGACCAGTAAAAATATGTTCTGTGTGTCAAAAAAAAAACAACAAAAAAACAAAAACAACAACACCTGACCTGATTGGATGACGTTAATTTAAATAAAAGTTTTTGACATTTAAGTTTGGATGTTCATGTTAACAATTTAAAAAACAATTGAAGGGAAATAACTGGTAATTGTTTATATCAAGGGGAAAAAACGGTGAAGTTTTTATAAAATAGTCACGAAAGAAATTACGACGGATGTTAATGTGTTGTTACATTTTATAATTTTTCAGTTTACTGGTTGTTACAAAGTTGTTGCTAAGGAAATCTGTAATTTTTTTTTATTTCTGTTATCTGTTTCTTGTCGTACTTCTATTTGTCTTGTTGAACGAAGAAGGCTCTAAGCCAAAACGTTCACATCTTATTGTCCTGTCTTTTGAGTCAAGCTTCTACATATCTTGTCTTACTATTTCATTTACAAAATTGTGTATAATTTTGTCACATATGTAGCCATTTAAGAATTATGTAAAAAGGTACTTGTAGCATTAATCAGACAATGACTAACTGGAACAAATAATTCATACTAATGACACATTCCATTATTACGGTAACGTTCTTGT